TTTTAATGAAACCTGACTTGACACGTTGTATGTCCGCAAATTACTCAATTATATGTACTACTCGTACGTACTTATTGCGACAATCTGCTGATTTGGGCGACCTTACATACACATATGAATGAAGATGATGTATCTAATAAGCTATTTCTGCTTTATTATAGTCCATCAGAGTATTACGCTTACAGGTGATTACAGTAATGATAAAAACGTGCGTTTCTAATTACTGGCATTTGCAGCGAACTGACCTATTAGACGTAACACTGGTAATCGAGGTGGTTACAGAAGTTCGATTTGAACACGACATATATACCGACATGTAACTTTTAAGAAACATCTTTATTGTGACTAAGACAGTTGAACGAGAATGGATTATCTCTGTGAATGCTTTCACTCATTGTATTGCCAGATCCAGAGATACAATTACATTGTATATTTATTGTTAAGTTATCACGTCACTGATGTGTACATATCAATAATGTACTATATGTGTCTCTGATGCCCACGGATTTATTTCTGATATTACAGTGAGTTTTGTATGAACATCATCATATCATTTTTATGCAATATAAAATGTAATATAATTGTCAACTATATATAAAAATAAATTTGTTATAAACACTCGTACTAACGCTGTGCATTATACCTCCTTCGAGAATGTCGCTGTAACTGTATATATGTTAATCATAGTGAATACAATTTTATTACATAAAGATGAAATGTTGGTAACCCACCTAGTCCAAACGGTGTATCTATAATTTACGGGATTATTACGCACTGATCAAAACTTTGAACTAGTATGTAAACCATTACATGAGCAGTAGGCAAGTTTCAAATAATTCCCATTATAAAATATGCTGAAATTCCTGAAAGATTTTGTTGTACAATTGACGAGTTTGTGAGAGAAGGGTTAATTCCGTCGAAATTCATCTAATGATAATATTCCCTGAACCGTAAACGAAAACGATGATGGTATGTGTACGCTTTTGTGGCATTTTCTGTTATGACAATGATTTGGTTGAACAGTTTTATGTTGTCATTTTGTCTTACAGAAAATTAAATTGAATAATTGAGACAATACAGACAATATTTTAATTTGTATATGATACAAGACATGAAACGAAATGGTTACAACTAAATACAGCATTATTATACTAACGGGGGCGGTATATATTAAAATTCTTATATGAAAATAAAACGTGGTGTGTTTATTATTCAGATACTAATACATGTATAACATGTGCCGTTTTTGACCCAACACCATTCATAAACCATCAAAACACAATAAGGAAAACGAGAATATGTTAAATTATAAACAATTTTAACATCGTTTTAAAAAAATATATATTTGCAAAACATGAATTCAATGCCGTTCAAAGTTAACTGTTTTAGAACTTCTCATACGGGTCTTAGAATACACCCGTCCTACGTAGTTGTATAGAACATTACTGGAAAATGTACGTTAACTTGGTAATGGTTGTCAGTAGATAGTAACAAAAACGCAGGGAAAATATAACTAAACCGTTTGTTGAAAAACTGGTGTACATTTACCATATTCGTTTCAGTATTTCATAATAAGAATGCTCATAGCAAGTTTACAATGATTGTGTGACATTCTTTGAGACCGATTTTTACTATTAAGTATGGATAAGTGTCAAGTCCTGTCACTCTGTGCT